GTTTCAGTTTTTAAAACCTAAAAAATCGAACTAGTTTCTGTGGGCACAATTCCAAACTCACATTTTCACGTTTCAAGATTACCCTAAGATAATTGGTTTTTTGTGCAGCACATTCCATTGTAATGACGTGTTCTGTGCTCACTTACCCCATGTAAAGTAAGATATATATTAAATCTATTCAGTGAGAGAGAGAGAGAGAGAAAGAAAGAGAGAGAAGAATGGTTTATTCAATACCTTAATAGCAGCATGGACTGAATTGCTAAGGTTTACAATGTATAGAAGGGGAAATTTTATAAATATAATCACAAAATTACTTGCATGCTTATGATAAGAATCCTACGACTACGAATACGAATAAAAAATTTTAGAATTAGCGCAGTTGAATTGCTAAAAAAGAACTGCAAATGTGTTAATAAAAGTGTCACGACACCTACTGGTCTTAGATGGCTTTACACGGTACGGTCTAACATTCCTGAGGTCCCGAGTTGGTCTCTCATCGAAAGGAATAAGAGGGTACACAACATCAAGGGGGTTATCTTCAATTTTGTTAAAAAGTTTTTTACATATTTCCGTCCTTCTTTGCTCCAACGTAACGAGGCCTGAACGTGCCAGGGCATCTGTATAATACACTTCGTAACCGAAAATTATCCTAAGAGCACGTTTCTGTATTCGTTCAAAACTTAAGGTTGGATATTTTGGAAGACTAAAAGGAAAAACCTGGCAGCCATAAAGTAAAACAGATTGAATGCAAGCAACGTAGAACTGAACTAGTTCTTCAGGTGGAACTTTGGCACGCTTTAGTTGCACTAAAAACTATAGGCGTTTGGCAGCTTTCTTTTGTAATTTCTCTTACAAGAGTATTCCACTTAAGGTCTTCTTGAATATAAACGCCAAATAACTTAACTACTTGTACTGTATGAATTTTACAACCGGTGATTTCTACAAGTTCATATTTTGTTGGAGAGCGCGCAAAGGTTATCCTAAGCTCATTACATTTACTGGGGTGAAGTTGGAACTTGATATTAGCAGACCATGTAGATACCTCATCGAGGATGGACTGTGCATGACTAGACCCTTTAAGTGGGTCACGTCTTACGAGCATGTAGCATAAAACGAGTATAAGTATTACCACTTCTCAACCCTAAACAGGGTGCTGGGAAATCCCAGGCTTTCTCCCCCCTCCTTCGGCAGTCAAGGTGTTTTGACGGTATCATTTTAATTTCGTCCTCAGCTGAGAGAGAAACTTGCTATAGCTGTGGTTGATTCTGCAAAAGTGTCCGATGACACGAGCTTATCAGACGTCGCTCAGTTTGCCAGCACTCTCACGGCAGTAACAAATAAACCCGAACAGAATACAGACAAGGTGGTGGTAAGTTGACAGTTCATCGCTCAGAAAATCCGAGTCCTGTGTTAATGTGGCCATACTGTAACAAGCGTGACGGTTTAACATTTGTTTCTGTTTTTTTTTTTGTTTGTTTGTTTGTTTGTTTTTGTTTTTTGTAATGTTGTTTAATTGAAACCAGGAAAAGGTCTCCAGCCTCTACAATGATGCAAGTAAAGCGATCTTGGCACAAGCTACTGGTGGCGATGGAGCATCTAGCAAAGAGATTGAAGAAGCCTCCACAGCAGTATTTGGTGGAGCGGTAAATATCATTAAATCCGCGGATGTAAAGCAGAAAGATGAGGTAATGATATCATGGCCAGAAAAAGGCCATTTTGTCCACGGAGTATCGAAAGTAATCAGGGAAGGTGTTGTTTTTTTCTTACTTCGTTTGACCATTGATCCAAACCTTTCTCTCTCTCCTAAAGTTCTTTTGAAGTTTAAAAATCGTCATGATAGTATTTCGATAATTCCCTGATTATTTGGTTAAAACGTAAAATATCCTAGATTTCGAAAAGCTGTCCCGTTAAATCTCTTTTGTGATTAAGAACTTCCCTCGTAAATGTGTCTCATGGCTCTGACAGATATGATACACCGCAATTGTTTTTTCTTTCCACTGAGATTTGACAACAACCAGACTGCGATGGAGATCTCTGGCGTAGAACGCTGATGCTCATGCAATTGTAAAAAAAATTAATTAGGTAAAAGCTCACATTTGGGAATAACCTGGATGAGTTAGATTCACCTAAAGGTAACATCTTTGTAGGGATTTCGCCGCACAGGACACTTTTAATTGAAATGTTACCTTGTTTTTGATTATTTGTAGACGTCCACTGAGAAAGGACAGCCCAAAAATAATGCTCAGTTAGAAAAAGTTCTTGGTACTCTGGATACTTTGTCGCAAGCTCTGATAGCATCCAAAGTTCAAGGTGAAGATGCCACAAAAATTGAGACACAATCTGTGTCGATGGGAGTTTCCAAGGAGGATAGTGAAACTTTAGGAGAGGAACCTGTCACGATCAATGACACCCAAGTGAAACTGCCGCAGAATTCGACAGTTTTCGGCAATGGAACTCTTGATCAAGTGGTATGTATCATTTCCGTTACACAATTAAGTGTATCTCAAAATATTCAGCGAAGTAGAGGTATACTTCTACCACTTTCTCCGAAACTAAGGTTAATAACTGTTTTCGTATTTACCACACAAGAACAAACACAAGTAGTTTATCTCTGTCAACATACCAAAAAAGATCGGAAATCATAATATCGATGGGTGATCTTGTTTCTTCGGCTGCCTGGAGGTGAATATTACCAGTTAATCACTTCCGGGCTAGCCAATCAGCAGAGCAGTTGATGGTCTTTGGGACACACTTGCTTCAGCCAACCTTCCCTTTTACAAATTAAGTAAGTTTGAAAAGATTTAACAACCATAACCACAACAAAAGCAACATATATGTTCGTACATAATAACTTAAAGGCCTTTCTGTAACTCGTATACGCATGTTTGTTTGCTAAAAAAAAAAGCCTTACTTAGCTCTGGTCAGCTTTTTTTCGGGTCGAGGGATTGCGTCTCCTCATGTTAGTAGAACACTGATTCTGTGTCACGGTTTTTTGGTGATTTCAGGCAATGTTGTCCGCAGTAAATCTCTATCCCGGTGGCCCAGGTACTAAGCAGATAAACAACAGTCAGCTTGTAAGCTTTACTTTGTACCAAAGCGGAGCGAACAACAGCCGCAAAGAATTCGTTGTCAAAGATGTAGAGCCGGGAAAAGAAATCAGTGTCATGGTCCCCCGAAAGCAGCGCGATGTCGAAAGGCGTATAACGCAAAGTAAGCTTCACTCGTCCAAATTCAACCTACACAAGTTTGTCATACTTGACAATTCATCCGCTGTTACCATTGAAGCCAAACCAGAGATTCCAGTGGATGTGGAAGTGTACGTGAAAGTGGGAGGCGAGCCAAAGCCTTCCCAAGGAGAGTTCGACTTTAATTCAACACTTTCGGCTAGTCGCACAAATTCTTCTAACTCTTCAATTTCATCTTATTCTTAAGAATACCTCCTGTCTAATGATATTTTAAACTGGACGGCTGCGGGGAGCTACTCTGTTAAAGTACGTTACAAGCTTCCAGAGAACCTTTCATTCACCGAGGACCAGCTGGGAGATGGAATAGGGTATAACTTCTCGGTGTACAAATCAAGCTGTTTGTATCATGACCCAGAAACCAAAGTTTGGAGAACAGACGGTGTCAAGGTATAAGAAGTAAAAACAATATCAATAATGAATGTGAGAATCATATACTACTACTTAAGTAGTGTTCACAACTGCAAAGATCGCTTTCATATTAATAATAATAATAATAATAATCTTTGATTAGCAATAATTTCCATAAAATCCTCTACAATACAAAATATTAACAGCGTAAAAAACGATCCAAAATAACTCACTTTCGGCTCACATCTACTCCTTTTTTTAATGTCAAAGCGTCTGGAAAACTATAAATAACGGAGTCAAATCTGAACAGATTCAAAGTCTAATAATCTGATAAGTAAAAGCATATCTAAAACTATACAGAAAAGAGAAAGGTGAATAATAATAATTAATTATTATTAATTATTAATTAATTATTAATAATATTAATAATAATAATAACCATAATTCCTTCAAGGGGCTGTTTCACGTTTTGGGCGCATGCGTGGGCTTTGATCTATTTCATTAATGCCCATAATCTAAGAGCCTATTTGAGTTCAACAAGCATGAAGGAAAGTGTCACAACGGCTTATCGGAAAATGAAAACAAAAAAAAAACAACAACTAAACCAGAAAACGGCCCAATGAGTGGGAAAACAACAGCGAGAGGTTTTGTACCTGATTAATCGAAGGGGTGTTCTTTTCAAGAGAGAGGCCAAAAACTAAAAATCACAATAATGATATATGATAATGTTAATAATAGTAATAGGTCTTGATATGAGCAGGCAAGTCAAGAATTTAAAGAAAGCGACAAAACTTTTGAGTCTGTAAAACATGTTTCGACAGAAACTTCTGTCATCTTCAGTTAATTACTGTACTAATGATGTACATGAAAAAATGTCTCAGTTCTGATTGGTTAAGATGAATGCAGTTTTCAGTTAATTCAGTGCAGAAGAGAGTTAATTCGGTGAAGAAGAGGGTTAATTCAGTGCAAAGAAAGAAACAAACCAGACACTCTGATTAGCCAGAATGATTGGTCAATGTCAAGGTCAATGTCACTTGCTGGGTTTGAATAAATTGTTTTTGCACGTGATGCGCGCGCTTTTCATCTGCGTAGTTCTGAGAAGCTACCTCGTATTTTTTTCATGTATATTATTAATAGATAATCACATGATTTTCTCGTGCAATTTGGAATAAATAAGCACTTGTAAATATTTTCAAAGACCACAAATTGCACTCGCCCTTCGGGCTCATGCAATTTTGTTAGTCTTTGAAAAAATGTACTCGTGCTTATTTATTCCAAATTGCACTCGAATTCATGTGATTACCTATACAAAGCGTTGGAAATTGAAATAAATAGTAAGTAGAACAATGCTAATTATGATAAATAGTGATAACAAGAAAGGAGGTAAAGCATGAAAGCGTGAGAATTAAAAGGATAGTTTTAGATTTACATGGTGTAATTGTTGATTCAGGGATGGTTGTTCTATTTGAATGTGAATAGCCTCTTTTATCTCAAGTTGAAAGCCGGTAGAGGCGTGATCTAAAATATGGAAGGTATCTGATGAACGTAAAGCGCGTGGAGAATCTTTCAGATGCCTGAAAATGTGAGAGGCCCTGACACAGACTAAGTGCTCTCTGACACGTGTGGAAAAATGCCGGCAGGTTTCACCGACGTAACAAGCATTACACATACAAACTTAGAAACCACGCGTGAACGGAGCCCGTCAGGGACAGGGTCTTTCACACCAAACAAGTTACCGATTTTGAAGGAAGAGAAAACCAGTTTAATATTCAAGTTCACTGCAATAGCATCATTGCAAAAACGAAACATGTTTTACAGACTCAAAAGTTTTCTCGCTTTCTTTAAATAATAATAATAATAATAATAATGATGATGATGATAACGATGATGATAATGATGATAACAATAAGTAAATGTAAAAATTAGGATTCATCGTCAAAATGAAATAGTCAAACCTGACCGTGAAAGATCCAACTGTGCGACTTTTCCTCCTTGCGCCCTTAACCAATTTCGCTCTATTGTTTTGTAGGTGGGACCGAAATCAAGTTTCACCCACACAGAATGTCTCACCACCCACTTGACAACTTTCGGGTGCAGCTTCTTTGTTGCACCAAACGCGATTGACTTTAAGAACCTTAGTACTAAGCAGTTGTTCGATAGCCCACACGCCCTCATTGCAGTCTGTACTATCCTTGGTCTTTATCTGTTGTCTCTCATTCCGGCAAGAAAAGCTGACAAGAACGACGCACTCAAGGTACTTACCATTACCTTTTAACTCTTTAACTCTGAAGATCTATATGTTAATTCTCCTCTCTGGCTGCTGGACGTTTTCCTGTAAATTACTCACAGGAATTTGTTGTTAAATCAAGACATCAACTTCCACCTGATTATGTTTAGCATTCTCATTACCTGCACTTTGCTGGATAAGGGAGAAGTTACATGTTAATCTTTTGAGGGTGTTTAAGGGTTAAAAACCTTATTGCTTTGAACAACAAAACCAATTTTGAGTATTTCTTAATGTTGCAGGAATTAGTTTTGGTTGCAAACTTAGCACCTCACTTCTTCATCTGTGTTTTGTTAGAGAGAAGTACAAAAGACGTAGTTACCAGAGACGGATCCAGGAATTTTTGATTAGGGAGTCCAAACTTTGGTTCAGAAAGGACTGTTGGACTCTTTGAGGCAAATTACTTCTCCCCCACACCCCCTCCCACCAGTCGCGGTTGCACGTTATAATTCCTTGGCCGCTTACCGTTTATTTGGATTCATTAAAACAATCAGCCAGTTAAAAGTGATATACGATCCTGTCTCAAAGCTGTAAGCGTCAGGTTTGATAGGGGGGGTCCGGGCCCCATTATTACCATTATTGCCTTGGAGCGTATTCTCACTGTGGCTACAACACATTTCAGATTCACACCACTGCCATACCCCACAAATGTATCACACTTCTATTTTTCCAATTAGTAACCTGTTGATTTAGCTCTAGCCTGTTAACATGATTCAATATCATTTTTACAGACCGGAGTAACTCCACTGCCTGATAACGATTCTCGAGATACGTATTGCTACGAGATTCAAATCCATACGGGATTTGTTCGCGGGGCCGGATCAAGTGCAGAGGTATCCATTGTAATTACTGGCGCTCTGGGAGACAGTGAGCCAAGAGTAATGAAAGATCCTAAAAGAAAGACGTTTAAAACAGGTTTGTGTATTTGCTTCATTATTTTGCCAACAATTTGGGTGAATGTAAAACCGTAGTCGAACTATTCATGGGAGATTTTTTTTTTCCACGTTGTTCATACTCTAAATGTTCAAACAAAATACACGACGTTACATTAAAGAAATGCTTTCTCAGGGTAGAAAAAAAATCAGAGCGGTGAAAAAGAACCAAAAAGAATCGAGTAGGGCTTAAGATGGAAAAGACTGACTCAGATTACGAACAATGAACACGAAAAATTAGTGCGAACTGTAATATACGCAGCTCCTTGCGAGGGAAAACTGCCACGGGGGCCGAGATATTTCTCAAATACAATTAAATTATTTTCAACTGGTCGAGTCGGTGAATACGTGTGTGTGTGTGTGTGTGTCTCTCTCTCTCTCTCTCTCTCTCTCTGTGTGTGTGTGTGTGTGTGTGTGTGCGTGTGTGTGTGTGTGTGTGTGACAGAGAAACAGAGTTGCGTTTCAGTTGTGAGTCTACATTTGAATCATGACTTGGGTCAATGACTGACTAAGGGAGCCAACAGATTTCTTTGTTAAAGGCTAATTGTTTGAACCAGCTTCCAATAGGATTCAAATAATTGTTAATTTAATGACTGACGAAGAATTCCATGACTTTCCCAGTCAGTCAACCTATCATAGGTTCATTTTTTGTATATTTTGGGTGAGTTCATATTTTCCATCTTTCATAGGGGCTGTCGATGCTTTTCTCTTAACTGTTCCCCAGTCTCTTGGAAACTTGAAACAGATTCGAGTGTGGCACAATAACGGTGGAACCTATCCATCGTGGAATCTTCTGCGAATCATGATCCAAGACATACAAACTGATCAGAGATGGTGGTTTGTTTGTGACGACTGGTTGGCGGTTGAGGAAGGTGACGGGAAAATTGAAAAGACCCTTTCCCCTGCGTCCAAGGAAGAACTGACAAAATTCAACGTACTTTTCACCTCTGAAGTGAGGAAGAATCTCACTGATGGCCATATTTGGTTTTCGGTTGTTGCTCGGCCACCAAGAAGCACCTTCACAAGAGTTCAGCGCTTGACTTGTTGTTTGTCCATTCTACTCTGTACGATGGTTTCAAACGCCATGTATTATGAAGTAGGCAAATACGAAACGCCTAAGAACGCCATCAACATTATGGGCTTTAGTTTCTCCATTCGCTCAGTATCAGTCGGAATCATAAGCAGTATTGTCGTCTTTCCTATAAATCTCATCATTGTTACCTTGTTCCGGAAAGCAAAGCCGAAGGAAAATCGATACTCAGTAAAAACAGAGGGAGAAGAAATAGATGATGTTGACATCGAGATGGGTGGAGAGAGGAAGAAAAATGCGCAGAAAAAAGGTCTTCCTCACTGGTTTGTTTACGTGGCGTACGGCATTGCATTCCTAGTTGCGGTTACATCAGGGTCTTTCGTGGTGATGTACGGAATGCAGTTTGGTCCTCAAAAATCAGCAGCGTGGCTTTCTTCCATGACGATAAGCTTTTTGCAAGATGTATTGTTAAATCAACCAGTTAAGGTCTTTGCATTAGCGACACTTTTCGCTCTGCTCATCAAAGATCCAAAGAAAGCTGAGGAAGAATCATATGCCGAAGTCAACGCCCTAGCGAACGACGAAGAGTGGCTGCACAAAAACACAGAAGATCTTGATGACGAGACGCAAAAGGCTTTGAAGAACCTAATCATCGACAAACCACCAGACGAAGCGAAGCTGGAGATCGCACGCCAGCTGCGCATGAAAGAAAAGCAGATGAAGTCAATTATCCAGGAAATTGTCTGGTACCTAATCTTCTTGCTGGTTCTACTAACCATTAGCTACGGAAACAGGGACCTAAAAACATCGCAGGTGACTCGATACATGCAGAACATCTTCGAAAAAGCAAGTTACAGCGGAAATGTTACATATGACAAGGTAGGCCGGTACAGATAAAAGTGGACTCGAGTTGCTTTGCATTATTTCAGCAAGTAGGCAGAACGGGACAATGAATTTAGGACGAGTATTAATGCTGAGTTCTAGCTGATATAATACTATATAAAAAGTGTATTTTTCATGACGGACATGTACCGGCTGTGCGGGGAATGTTAAGCTCTGGTGCAAACCGTACCTGTATCAAGTATTTACAAGGGGAAAGTATGAGATGTCACTTTTGAAATAACTGTTTTTGGAGGTTTTTGTCTGACATGAATCTTTCTTATCTTTGGTAAGATAAGAGATTATCGATGAGCAACAGCGCACGCTTCATCTCTCTAGTTTCTTGGGTACCAAGAGCACGCACAGCGCATCAAAATGCCTTGATAGACTTGAATAAATACTTATAAAATAAAAACTAGTCCTGCTGAAGTTTTCCCCTAACAGGATCATCTATTCTTCGCTAGGTACATGATATTACACAGTACTGGCAATGGTTGAATGAGACTTTCATCCCATCCTTGAATCCAGAATTCTTCTACAATAATTTAACTCAGTATGAAGATGGTTACCTGGCTGACACACCCAACGCCTGGCTGTTGGGCGTGGCGCGACTCAGGCAGCTGAGGATCAAGAAAGGCGAGTTATTGAATGTTTGTCGTTAGATTTTAGTCAAAGAAAGGTGATATAAAAGAGAAAGGGCAATGAACCCATCCAGCGAGGCTACTTTTTCAAAACGAAATTTAAGAAATAACGACAGTGGGACTAATAGGTAGTTTTATGGTTTCAAGCACACACCACTTTTGATTCTCCGTGAAAAAATAGTGTGCTTTGAGAGGCCTTTCAAAGAGGTATCGGCGCTTTTAAGTTGAGTCACAATGAAAAAAATTGTAAGAGTCGAGAGTTGATAGCTAGTAACTCCTCGCGCATTTTAGGTGGACACTGAAAGTTCTTTTAGACTGACAAACTGCTGGATACGAGATAAACATTGCGACCTTTCCCTTTGAGCCTCAAAGGGATTGAAAGGCGATAAAAGTTATGCAATCTTTATGTGCGTATACCGGAATGAAAACTCCTATAGCCTTTGAGCACTTTAAGCGCCTTTGCGAAGGTGGTTTTACTGACGAATAAATGTTTGCCTCATTGCAGACACCTGCACATATAAAAAAGCCTTTCAACCTTTCATTAGCGAGTGCAATGATTTCTACAGCATGGAGTTGGAGGATCAAGGCTCATATTTACCTGGATGGAAGGGAAAACCGCTTATACCACAAAATTCATCATTGCCTACTCCTATTCCCTCTCAAAGTCAAGAGCCCCCAGTTCCAGGTCCATGGGTCTACCAAAGCGGAACGGAGTTGGAGACTTTCCCATACTGGGGTTACAAAGCTACATATAGCGCTGGAGGTAAATGGTGCTACTCTTTATTTTAGCAACACACTTAAATATTTATCAGTCTGAACAACAGTAGATTTTGAACATGGTTCCTGGTCGTATGTTTGAAAACCCCTTCGCCTCATCACCGATAAGGTCTGAGTCTTAACCCTTGAATCCCCATGACCAAAAGCAAAATATCGATACAATATTAAGCAGACAAGTTATGAGAATAAAGAAAAATATCAATTAGGGGATTTTATGTTGATCCATAACCAAATTCTCTGAACTAAAATCATACAAATTGTATGACAAAAAGTAAGAGGAATTACTGAGATTCTGGAAGCGAAGTTTTTTTGAACGAATCTGACGCATGACTTAGTGTCAGTTCTCATTATCCTAAAGATAACTTTTTCCCGAAGGAAAAGAAAACAGTTCCTATGGAGTGAGAGCATTTTTTTTTTGTACTACAAGTGTTTAAAAAGCTCTTTCTAGTTTCTGTTCCGTCACGTGATACTTTTGTTCCTTCCCTGTGGCCATATCATAAAGAGACTAGTTGCTGCCTCTTATCATATGTTAATTTGTAAAAGGCGCTTCAAGTTCGATCTACTGTTTCAACACCTTTGTAGCCCACCGGGTGTGTTCACTCACTCAAATTCGTTTGTTCTTTTTTTGAAGGATACGTGCAAATATTGCCCACGGATATAAACGAGTCTCTAACGATAACAGGAAAGCTGAGTTTAAGCAAATGGTTGGACCGTTACACGAGAGCTATTTTCTCGGAGTTTGCTATTTACAACGCGAACACTAACCTGTTCTGTGTTGTCACGCTGTTGTTTGAACAACTGCCCACCGGAAGTTTGACTCCGTATCCCAGCATTCTGACATTGCGTCTCTTCCGTTATGTTGGAGGCGAAATGTTCTTTGTGTTGACGTGCGAAATTGTGTACCTTTTGTTCTGCACATTCTTTGTGGTCAAAGAGATAAAGATGTTTGTGAAGAAGGGTAGGGAACACCTCAAAAATCCATGGAGCATTCTGGAAATCCTTGTGACTCTACTGTCGCTGTCGGCAGTGGGACTGTACTTCGCAAGGCATAAATTCACCAATGATGCGATAAGGGACATGAACACTGACCGGGCTGGTTTTATCAGTTTCCATTACACAGCTTTCCTAGATGAGTGGCTCAAGTGTATCATGGGTCTCATTGTGTTCTTCTCGTTCTTAAAAGTGTTCCGTCTGTTGCGATTCAACCGTCGCATATCACTGCTGCAGCAAGTCCTCAAAAGGGCATTCTTCGAACTGTTATCATTCATGTTTATGTTTGCACTTGCGTTTCTAGCCTTTGCTCTCCTTGCATGCCTAGTATTTGGGCAGGCAATGGAAGGGTTTGGGACATTTTTAAGAAGCTGTGCCTCTTTGATGGACACAATACTCGGCAAGTTCACTTTAAAGGAACTGTCAACAGCCAATCGGATTCTTGGACCGATTTTCTTCTATTCATACACGGTGACCATGGTGTTTGTGCTCATTAACATGTTCCTTTCCATCATCAACGATACATTTGCCGAAGTTCGCAGCGATGTGGATAAACAATCCAATGAATACGAGATAGTGGACTTCATGATTCATCGACTGAAAGAAAATATCGGCAAGTCCATCGGTCATGCCATACACCCAGTGTACAAGGAACCCAAGATTGAACTGGAACTCAACTTTGATAGAATCGCCGATGACGCGGATAATGCCATGCATTTCATGAGAAACATCGCATTTGAAGATATGAGGAAGACACGATGGTTCCAGAACGAAAACTGCACTGAAAAGAAGAAAAACCTGATGAGGCTGTTAATGGAAGTGGATTGGGATTATTACGAGGAAGAACTTTGTGATTCCATTCCAGTTTTCGAGAAGTTCCTTAATCAGTACAGCGACGAGGAAGTGGATAGCGTCCTGCAGTATTATCAACAAAAGCGGATGGTAGAGGACCTGGTCTTTGATCAAGTCAACGGTTCTGGTGAGGAAGATGACTCTGATGAAACTAACAGTGATAGCGATGACAGTAACGATGACAGTGATGAAATTTTGAGTGACGACGAAAACTTGAGTAATGACGAGAAGGTATCGGAAGTGGAAGACGATCTCGACAATGAAATGAATATGCCGGCGCAAGAAATCGATGTAAGGCTTGACAGCTCTGGTAGCCATCATGGACGCGTAACGGTTAATCTTGGCACTGAAATGGAACCAAACAGAATTCGAAGTCCTTCTTTCTTGATCACTGATGCAGAACCAACAGCTACAAAAATCTTGAAGCAAAACACTCCAGATGTTGACCTAAGAAGCATCCACAGTAACCCCCAGGCGGAAGTGACCGAAAACGAACTTGTTCAAATATTACAGGATGTGCGCAGAGATGCGGAGAGTCGTTGCGCCACAGATGCTGAGATAGACAGCATTTTTGGAGACTCCTTGTCTGCTCATGGAGTACAACTGCTCAAGTTCGACAGTGAACCTGAAGATACAGGCAGCAAGAAAAAGAATGTTAAGAAGCGACGGAAAAAGAAAGAAGAAAAAGGGATGCCGAAAGAGAAAACTACAAAAGATGCTTGGGTTGTAACAACTGACGAAAAAGCAGAAGAGAATACATTGACCTGTGAACCTCAAGAACATAAAGTGGAGAAAAGAAAGGAAAAGAAAGAAAAGAAAAAAGAGAAAATGGAAGGATTAGAGAGGCCATTAACTGCTCCATGGACAGGGGATGAAGCGGATGAAGAATTGATGAAACCCAAAAAGAAAGGAGGTAAAAAAGGTGCAGCTGTAAATGAAGGTGAAGAAGAGACGGCTGAACCGAAAATCAAGAAAAAGAAGGCCAAGAAATCTGCAGTTGAGGATACAACGGGAGGTAACATCGAGGAAGAAACAATCGAAGACAAAAGAAAGAAGGATAAGAAGAAAAAGAAAAAGCAGGAAGAGGCAGATGATGCAGCTCAGATAGACCCAGGAATGGACGAGAAACTCCAAAATAAAACTAAGAAGAAAAAGAAACAAAGAGTGAACCAGCTGACTGTTGATGACGACGATGGTCGCAGCTCTGCAAAATCAAACGACACCGAAGAAACGATAGTCGAAGAAAAACCGCCGAAGAAAAAAACGGGAAAGAAAACGAAGTCAACAACCAAGGAGATTGTATCGCAAGAAGAGAGCGAGTGTTAGATCAAAAACACTTGAACTATACTTCGACAGAAGTTAACTGTTAATCTACCACAGTAAATTTAAGAAAAGTACAGGCATAATGTAATAGGTGAAGTCTTCCCTACGATAAGTCTAGTTTGACCTTGTACAAAATTATATTAGAGAAAAATACGATTTTCATTTCTTCGCGTAATTCTAATCGAGGACAAGATGCGTATCGAAGCTAATGTGTACATCTAAACACCTGCGTGCGGGGTGGTTCTTAAGTTAAAATTAAACAAACCATGAAAGCTTCTTGTAATACAACGCGGCTAGGCTTTAAACATGTTTTCGTTCAGACAGCAAGTTTTTCGTTTTAATGATTTAGACAAAACTCGAGAAACTCAGGGGCTATGCATAATGCAACCATTGTGCCACAAAAAAAAAAAAGTGGGCTCAGAAACACACCACTTTGCCTCAATACCAACGCTTTGCTGTCATCCTACGGAGAGCACGATCGTGAAAAGCTTTTCCTCAGGAGTACATTATACCTCTTGCTGAGTTTATATCTCCAGTTAGCCTTCAAATCAACCCCCAACGAAACAGACAGTCGACCTCTATTCATTTATCAAAACATCTTCGCTTGAAACCCCTTGAGAGACTTCGACAGGAAAAGGTGAGGTAAAAATTTAGAAATTTGCACTGAGAAAAAGAGTTGCTATGTTTCTTTATAGATGAGACACCGCTGAACCAACTTACAACTTCTACTATTTCGCTTGTAATTTTCGTAGCATGAAATGATGAGAAAGACTGTAAGTAGGAATTTGTGGTAGATTAAAATAAGTTTTAACGCCACACAGTATTGTTTTATGACCCCTCATGGTCCCAATTTCAATTTGTCATGTCATGTTAGTCAGATAAGTTCTTCAACTCTCTGAAATACCACCTTGAAATCGAGTTTGTGTTTCAGCAGATGCATAGTTTTTTTTTTCCCGGACGTCAGTTCTGAAGTGCGGTGTGGTATAGATCTAGATTCCCAGGGAGCATGCTTCACCTAACCACGTACATGATTTACTCATTGTGACCACTTTGATTTCACCCGTAGGAGGAGAAAAATACTGTATTTGAATTACAAGTGCACGCGGTGTTGTCTTACATGATTTATAATAGACACAAAAAAAGGTCAGGCCTGAAATTCAACATCAGTCTCTTCGTCTCTCGTTGTTTTAGGCTATTGTATCTATTTCTTTTTGGAGATTTTCTCGATTTGTTTCCCAATGGCTTTTTGAACATCTTCATCAAGTATACAGTCACAAAAGTTCTTGATGTCCTCAGCTCTGTTATTCTCCAGCGCCTCCACGTACTCTTTTCGCAGAGTTCTTTTCGTTAACTCTCTAGCTTTCCCTGAAAACGGAAAAAGCACTCAACTAATGAACCCCCTGGGCCTAGCTGTATAAAGGATATATCGCTATTCAATGGATAAGTGATAGAAAAACGTACTGCGCTATCTATCGGGGGAGCAGCTTTGGCGTAGTCAGGCGAGAGCGCTCGCCTTCCACGAATGTGTCCTGGGTTCGATTCCCGGACCCGGCGTCATAAGTAGATTGAGTTTGTTGGCTCTCTACTCTGCTCCGAGAGGTTTTTCTCCGGCTACTCCGGTTTTCCCCTCTCCTCAAAAACCATCATCATTTGAATTGATTTAATTTAGAGTTTATTTGCATTTACACACGACCCCACAAGCTGTTCAGCTTTAAACATTATCGTGTCTAAATAGAGGTATTATTATTGTTGTTATTATTATCGGATAAATATTTATCTAGTGAATAGCGTTATCCAACCTTGGAACAACCGGGGCGTGAGCAGTTCGTAGGTTCTCATAGTCTTTTGAATACACAACAGGGCAGAAAGATGAGGGGAAGCTAGCAAACTATCGACCATGCGATGTTACTTCAAAATACCAAAACATTCTAAAGAAAGGACTAAAAATTAAATGCACAGTCACCCATCATTTGTACGAATCAGCAGTAGTTGCACTGAGAGTGAACGACTAAAAGAGCGTTTTTCTTTTCCAGTTGTTAATATAGCTAGTGATGTTACTCATGTTAGATGCTTTGCCTCAAGAATTTCTTCATTGTTCTCGTACAGGGTCGCTTGAAAATCTGAGGAGTGGGACGTGGGAGATGGGTGGTGGCTCAAATAATTTTGTCCAGTATGAAGCTAAAATGAGTGGCGGGCGCTTAAATTAAAAAATTTGCTCCTTCGTTTTCTGGCGAAAACAATCAATTCAAATTTTCCTACCAGAAAATGCGACCCATTTTTCCATTTCTACCATTGTCTCCTCCATGACTTTATCCTTAGGTACAGTTTTGTCAACCATTCCAACTGCTAAAGCTTCCTCGGACGTGTACCTCTTGTTACTAAGGATCGCTTTCTCAGTACAGCTTTGGCCAACCACATTCCTCATGGTACCAACTACCCTAATGGCAGGAAGAACAAGTGAAAGGTCGGTTCACGTATAGCCACAATAACAACAACTGTTGAACGAATAGAACAAATCTCAATTGAGTGTAAAAAGTAGTCCTGTATGGCTTTGTTTTTGCATTATTTCGCTTTATTATTATGATTGATCCAGAAAAATCGCGCCACTCTCTCAACCAATCAGATGCTACACTGAAACCAATCACGACCTTTGTCAGCAGCATTTTCCCGTGCTTTAGGCGGTTCATTACTTTTAATTTGATTGGCTCTAAAAAGTATTTTCCTTTCTTCTGATTGGCTGTTGTGATTACCTTGGCCTTGGTTTTATGACACTTAATCAAATTCTCTCTGGTAGTGATAAATTGCACTCACCATGATGGTGGTGGGACACCCTATAAAACATAAAATTAAGAAAAGAAATGAAAAAACCCATTTATCAAATATCAATAACTATGTCAGAAGACACCATGTCACAAGGTGACGTGCTATCAGGAATTACGCCTTTAAAAGTGGTTCCTAGAACCAGCATTTGAGCTTGTAAAATATTTGTTTCAACACTGTTAGCTAGTTTTATCTGCTCATTGATTTGGGGCATTGAATGGAATGATTCCAATTCATTCCAACAAAGGGCTAGATTAATAGCTGTCACTCAAAATGTCAGCTTTGGAAGCTCTCACAACTCGGTTGATAAAACCAAATTATTTCCCTGCACACAATAATTATTGACAGTAGTTTTAAAGCAAACTGAGTGTTTGAAATGCACCATACTTATTCATCACAATCTATAATGTCTCAAATACAGTAGACCCATTACCAACTCTTCCATGATTATAATTTTCAGATCAATGCACTTAAAGTGAACTTACGGCTTCAATTTCCACCATTCCAATTCTGAATCCCTCAGCCATGACACGATAATCACAGGACAATCCCAAAACACAGCCTCCTGCCATGGCATGACCCTGAAATAAAGCAACACTTCAAATTGGTAAGGGATGAGTACTTAAGAGAGCACTGTCAGCAGAGGGAATCAGTTTAACATAGGTCTAATGCATCGAATGAAATCGAAGCTTCAACATCCCCCTTCCCTGAAGCAGCCCACAGGCATTTTACTATCCTCCAGTGGCCCAGGGGTGGGAAATTTGAACTTTGCCAGGGTGGGGTGGGAAATTTTGAGCCAGAACTGTCAAGTCTTTCCTGCAGAACACTTGTATTTTATCATTTAAAATGAAAGACTGTTTAAAGGTATAAAGTTAACCTATAAAAAAGCAATGGCTCAGGAGAAAAGGTCTAAAAGAAAGTCATTGTTCCTTGGGGACGTTGCTTTTAACAAAAACATTGATCATTAAATCGGATACTTGGGTGGGGCATTTGGACACTTTTTTAGCCCCAGGACGCAGGAATTTGAACAAACCAATCTTCAAAAGTTCAAATGCCTGACAGGGTTGCCTGAGGGCAAATGTTGAAGCTTCAAATAGATTGACACATAAGCAGAACTTTTTTTAAAGTCCTCGTTTACCAACTTAAAATCATTAACCCTTGAACTCCTAGAAGTGACTAACTTGTAACTTCTCCCTATAATATCCAATACATAATTAAGCACACAGGTAATGATATTACTCAAACTTATCATGTAGAAGTTGTCAACTTGGTCTAACACCAAATTCTTGTTGACTAAAATACAACGAAATGTGTAGCAGCTAGGAGAGGGGAGATTGCCAATCAGATCTGAGGAGTTCAAGGATTAAAATCTCCATAAACATTTTTGGGCTCAAAAAAGAATTGATTTAAGAAGCTCATGTGACACAAGCTTCAAGGATTGAAACTCAGATTAAACAAATGGAATTGTTAATCATAAAAGAAAGTGAAGGAGACTTAAAGATAGCGAGTTCAACTGAATGGATAACTTACATTAATAGCTGCCATGGTAGCTAGCCGTGATCCATACAAGCGAAGCCACATCTCCTGAAAATTACTCCAGAAAGAAGCAAGACGCTTTTTATCTGAAGGCTGGTAAATTTCCTTCACTAGGTCCAGCCCTGCAGAAAACACTTTTGGAACACCCTAATTCAAACAGAGATAATGATAAATAGCCTTAAAATGATCATCTTCTTCGTTCATATATTGTGAATAATACAATAATTATCATGAACATTTGATTAGTAGCGCGAGAGTAGTCCTGAAAGGGACTGTTGTTGGTAGAAGTGAATGGAAGACATCAGCATAGTCAACTCCTAACCTCAAACTGCTTAATATTGTGGTTTGAAGTTTGCAGGTTTGAGGTTTGTTAACACACTAAATGTGGATCTAAAAATCTCTAGTGGCTAAGCAGACTGACTACATTTGCAGTAAAAACAATGTACTGTTGCAACCTACTGAAGTAACTATAAGTCCTTGACAGTCCTGGTCATTTTCAAGGCTTTCCAAGTTGGTGTTTATCTCTTCTAAAAATTCCAGGCTGAAGCTGTTGACTGGTCCCCTGTTTAGCTCCAAAATGGCTACACTTCCATGTTTTTGGACATTAACATGGGTTGACGTGTATCTTCTGAATTGACTAGCACCCAAAAATGCTTTAGTTGCCGGTACTCCATTTCCTTGGGGGGCCACTGTTGGGAATAATCATAAAAAAGATCATATTTCAGCTGCATATTCAGAGATAAAAGAAAGATAAAATAGAAAACATGGATAAAAGGAATCTGGAGAAGGAAGTGTGGACAAAGATCTAATCTGCAAAACCTAAAGGAGTCTAGATGCTGCATTTAGGGTAAATTTTGTATACTTTGCATGTTTACCACAGTAACTCTTAAATAAATTCCCAAGGACAGGGCAAAAATCTTTGTTTGGCAAAATCGAATCATAAAGAGAAGCAATGATCTGTAACAAATTGACAATTTCTTGTGATTGAGGTAAACTTTTTGGATATCTGGCAACTGTCTCTCAAGTTCACCCCAATTCCATGTGATTTCATCATCTCAAATTTTGCCTACTGCCATAAAGTTTTGGCTTTTCATTTTTTCTTGTGCAGTTTCTCACAGTTTAGAAGAACTGATACCACATCTCAGCTAATGAACCCTAAAAGAATCCTTAAACTCACAGAAGTGATTAAAATGTAACTTCTCCCATTAATATCCATACATTATCCAGCAAACAGGTAAGGAGAAAACTCAATATTTAAGGATAGAGGTTGTTTTCTCGATCTAACATCAAATTCTCGTAGTTTATTCACAAGGAAATGTCTAGCAGCAAGTGGGGAGAATTTCCTGCCGCTGACCTAGTGCCCTCTCATCGTTAATCCTTTTTCGTTAACCAAAAATGTGTGACAAATTTATTTCTCGATAATTTGAATCCCTGTACTTCCGTACTAAAACAGGATAATGAAACCCAGATACTCGCAATAAAAAAAAAAATTAAACTTCTGGAGCTCAAGGAGCTTTCGCATACATTGCATGACCTAGTGTGACATTCGAAAGGTTTTTAGGCTCAACTCTCAATTTTCGCAGATTTCACATTTCTAATTGGACATTAAACTTCAGATCAAAACCCACTAAAATTGGAGTCCATATGCATTGTAAAGCAACGTTTCTCTTTCCGTCCAAATGTAAGACATGAAAATGATTTTTTTAAGGGTCCAGTCTTAGATTTTCGCGGTCGTGAAGTAAGATCAAGATCTTACCCCAGTCGATGACACACAAAAGAGTTCCAATCCATTATAACAGATCCAAAAAAAAAATGAAATCCATCAAAGCAAAATTTTCTTACCTTTAGCCACTTCTACTACTCTCAGGAAACTTTTACCAAATTTAAGTGGCGTCGCCATTTTCTTCAATTTTCAAACATCTAGATTGGGGAGGGGTGTGTGGGGAACATGCTAGAGCATGCTAGTCTCGTATCCAGACCTTCCCCGGCCAAACAGTTTGGTTTGAATACAGAGGTCTTTCCGAAATTTCACAAGGTGGCTCGTACCGATTTTCATCTTTTTGATGGTTTGTAACTTTGAAAGAATACAACAGAAAGACTGACCAAGGCCAGTTGAACACTTTTACGGGGTTGAATTACATAATCATTGGTTATCCAAAAATAAGTGTCATTTCGTCACTAACAGTTTCTGATAATACGAAGGCAAGCTTTTGTCTGTCATGTTCGGTGGAAGAATGGATAGCAGAACATTTCTCTCTTCTGTTTATTAATCAGGCCTCCTGCTTGGATGTTTCTCGCGAAAGTCGAAAACGAACAACAAAAAGAGGCCAGTGTCATCTGGGATACAAAGGAAAAAACTGTGAAACACGTAAGTGAAAAGATTTCTGAATAGCTCTATCCAGAGGTTTATATACAAAATACATAACTAACACCTGAAGCTGCTTTGCAAGGTATATCTAGGAGTTTGCTAAAATATAATGACGGTCATGAAGGACTCATGGATTTGGAGCCATGACTAGACATTGTCGAATGGGAAAAACGACATGTGTAGCGCTCTGCATTTTGTTTGATTATTTATGTTTTTCATTGTTGTTTTTGTTTCGGTTTTAGCTCTTGGACTCAACGTGTTCCTCCGTAGCGAAGGCTGCGAGGATCCAGGCAAGTATCCACCGTGTGGTGTCGCTTATATTACATCAAAGTGAATGGAAAGGATTATTGTCCTCATCTCAGAGACCATAATGTGGTTATTGTTAGCAGCGTAACAGGTAACAGACTTGAAGGGCTCAATATCTCACTGCTCAAGGTCAATAGTTTGTCAACGTGAAGCCGTGACTGAAAGGTTGTATGCTTGAATACAGTTTGATCAAAATGAAAAAAGGAAGCTTCCATTCTGTTTTGCAGGGACCGCTCTTGACTCCAAAGCATTTGACACTGCTGCCAATAGTTCTGCTGGTAATAATCTGAGAGACTATCTAAACAACATAAATGGAGAGTATGTTCCTTTTGCTAATGATGCTTTCAATTCTTGTGAAAACATATAATGAAACAAAACGAATAGACAAGACATGGATGGCCATTGAACGAATTACAGGAGTGCAAATAATTAAGCATTCAACGCGTCGCTGACAAGTACGAAAACCTTGGAAAAGCTGACCAAACCAGTTCTCGCCAAAACCCTTTTGAACTTTATGTTTGTTGTTTGTTTAACCTTATTGTTTGTTTAAGTATCTTTATTATTTCTTAGACAAATTATTTCGGGCCCCTGAAATGTAAAATTTATGTAAAGAGTAAAGAAGGGGAGGAATTGTTCGTAATCTCCCTCTATCCAGAAAGATCGTCGCCACAGCTGCGACTACAGGTGCACAAACAAACTCTTAATTGACAAAATGCATAGTACCCGTTAGGGCCTTTTACTTGGGGTAAGTGAGCACAGAACACGTCATTACAATGGAATGTGCTGCACAAAAAACCAATCATCTTAGGGTAATCTTGAAACGTGAAAATGTGAGTTTGGAATTGTGCCGACAGAAACTAGTTCGTTTTTTTAGGTTTTAAAAACTGAAACGTGTAAACATTAGCTAGGTCACATGTATGTTAACTTAGTTGTCTTCCCCAAGTTAAAGCCCCACAGCATTAGGTTAAGCATAAAAGCAACTAAGAGTGAGAAAGAACCAGGTCGGCTAAAACGATCTCCAAACAATTGTAACACACAATAAGGAAAGCATTTCTCATCGAGTTAAACATTTCATCTCAACATCATCAACATGGTGACCCGAAACCGAATAGAATACAAGGTCTTCTCCCTCTAGACATAGCATAGATACGCAATTTGAACAAATTTAAAGCAAAAATAGGTACGCAAGACGTGCGAATTTAAGTCAAATTTAAATCAATGTCACTGTAGCCGTGACACACCTCTAAAAGATGAATTTATTTCCGTTATTGTCGTTTTGAGCTGGTTATTCCTTGGTTATTCCTTGATTATTCCTTGGTTATTCCTGGTTATTCCTTGCGTTAACCCCCCTTCCATCTGATATTTTCCTCTGTGTGTTAATCTCGTCAAAATGACAGGGTTATTTCTCGTGGTTTGTAATCAAATCTTTGTTCATTAAACTTCAGTAAAATCGTTCTGGTCGCCATTCAAAATGAAGGCTCAACGTACATACCATCAGCTACTGATGCCTTGAAGAGAGTTGCTGCTACTGATGACCTCCTCAACTTGACAGAATACAGAGGATCGTTTGTTTTGGTGGGATACGCAGGTGTAAATAAACCACCTTGGATAGTGCAACAAAGTGCGGAGAGGGGAAAGGGACCCAGTGAGATATCTTTGACAATCCCATCATCCACAGGTACATCGACGTTTCAATAATTCCCCATAGCAGTTATACATTTTTATAGTCAGGGACACGATTGTATCAACATCTTCACATATTTAGCGACTCAGGCAAATAAAAGCGGTCAGGGTCTAAGCTCTCTTTTCCACTAACAGAGACACGCAATGCGGGCTTAGAGCACTTTTTCGCAAGAGAATCGAACGAACAATCTCAAGGGGTGGTAAAACTGATCAAACATTTCAATCGTAATAGTTATTTGAAACAATGAAAAGCCAATTTTAGCCGCGGTCGGTCACCGGCGCACTATTTCCGTTATGTGAATATCAATAAACCCATCGTAATAATACCAGATTTTCTTTTACAGTTAGTAGAGGCTTATTTTACAATCAGCCTTGTCATTCCTGGACAGACATCCGGGACTCGGGTTTCTTTGAAAGAGACGGAGAGTACTGGGTCGACTTTGAGAAGACTGGAAGTCCAATGAAAGTATATTGTGACATGAGAACTGACGGAGGTGAGGCGTTGGTGCGTGAACAGTAAAAAAGGGGAGGCTTCGAATGATGTTGATTTCGAGCTATTTATAGATCATAACAACCATCACTTTTAATGCATTGCATATGTTGGCTTTGTTTGGTCACGTTGCTGATTAAAACGATAATCTTTTTTTTTTTTCCAAGAGGTTGGCTTCTTGTTTCCAACGTTGTGGTTGACAACCCATCCTCGCGACAATTTTTTATTAAGTTATCATACCGTGAAATCAGCAACTGTCACAGCAACAAAGCATTGTTCATGACTGAAAATGCCATGAAAGAACTCAGAACACACTTTTCTTTCACTCAAGTGAGATTCCACTGCAGTAAACAACAAGGACCCACGTCCCATGATACCACAGCTTCTAACAGCACTGGTGAAGCTGTAGTTCAGTACTTCAGCGGCCAGACAGATGTGCGTCCCTTGGCCTGTGGATCGTTAGACCCAATGAAAGATGATAACTCCAGAACGGCTGGACTTTGTAACCAGTGGCTAAGCCAAAAGTGGAGCCATGACATATCTATATCACTGCATGGAAGATTGAACGATCATGCTAATGCAATCCGATATTTGCATCACTTGTTGTTGAGACCTGGAGACTCAAGATGGGAATGTGACGACTATAACTTTCCTAATAAAGAATTTTTTGGGTTATCCTCTGGCGATTTCTGGAAAGTTTTTGTTCGTTGAGACCTAGCAACAGAGATAACTTACGTCTACTCACGCTGTGTGATAAAACTTTTAATCTCAAGCTAAGACGTTTTATTTAAAGTTAATTAAAGAGTCCAAGTTTCAGTTTTTTTTTATATGTATTTAACATTAACTTTGCCATCATCACTAACTTCAGAAGGGTCCTTAAAATTGTATTTGCTATTATTATTCTATTATTATTCTATTATTATTCTATTATTATTCTGTTATTTTAAGAAAGAGTACATACGTTGTTCGTTTGTAGGTTTTGTTTGTCAGTCATTTGCCCAAACTTACATTGTAAGACCATTTAATATTATATTTTATCGTATTATATTATATTGTATTGTACTATATATACGAACTTTTGTTCTTTTGAGAGGAAACCAAACCTTTTGTGAGCCTCGCAGTTTCATCTAGATTTCCTCGCCATACACATTGTTGTATTTGACTAGCCTTATCATACTTCCTTGTAAATACTTTATCGTAGTTTGGCCGGTGAAGGATTTTAAAAAAGGAAAACAAACTGCATGCAGAAGGTGGGATTCAAAGCTATTCATCCTCTTTGAGCTAACGTTTACTTAGAGTTTGTAAATTTCCCAGTTTTTCGTGTTTTTTTCTAACAGAGAAAAGAAAGTTTCAGCTTTCGCTAAATTATTGCAGAAATGCAAATCGAACAACTTATTTAAGCATTACTTTAAACAGTCAGCCTTCTTCACTATATATATCACGTAACACTCTGTGCACAAGTAAACAGCATTGGAGCTAATGGGCAATGGTGAAAGTTATTTACAGTGACTAACTGAGATTCTTATCATTGCAGTTGCGATGGCAGGTAATTTTCAAACAATATTTACGTATTTAACATGATACAAACGGTCAGATTGTTTCATCGTCAATTTTAATAATTCAATTTTGTCTTTATATAGCATACATGCTTAGTGATGAAAAACTTTAGAATCATTTTAACAATATCAATGATTATTTGTTGAATATATTATTCCGTTAAGAACGTGTTTTGATCCGAAGCTACGTTAGATTGACAATAACACGTTTTGTGTCTTCGAGGAACAACTATCAGAAGAAAGTTTGACGATGGAAGCATATTTCATCACTTTCGATGCACTCTTTTATGTCAATGATAGAAATTAAGACAATTCGTAGATTATGAAACATTGAAAGCTACACATCATCGACGAAATACCGTATTTCCCCTAGTTGGCACTTGGGCGCTTATTTAAAATATCGGCTAAAAAAAGAGGGGCGTCTTTTGGAAGGGGGGCACTTCTTAAGAAATTATTAAACTATACTGATTCCGTTTCTGTATAAGCTTTAAAAGCTATAAATATAATGGCAATAGAGAATCAGGTTTCCTTTGTATTCCTTCTATTTAAGACAGTGAGGAAGGAGGGGGAAGGAGACGCTTGTTTGAAGTTATGGCCCAAGGGGGGGTGGGTGCTCTTTCGGGGGATGGGGCGCTTATTCGAGGAAGTACGGTATCTAAGTTAAGGAATAGTTGAGTCTAGCGAATATCCTCTGCAAGCTATCAATTTACGGAAAATGAATACTTGAATCGATTGTAATTAAATCTACTTTATCATTGCTGTTGAACTGAATGTGCAGTTTTTAAATCAGCAAAAACGATCGATTTTTGTTATGGTTAAAAGGATACAATAGCCCAGTGAAGGGTGAGACAATTCATCATAAAACAGCTATTGGTAGCCCGTTTCACCGAGTCATGACCTTCTCCTAGCAACTAGGTCAAGAATGATTGCAGCATGCAGCTACCTTAAACCGATTTGCAGCCCAAGACAGGAACTTCGATATTTTTTAAGAATCAAAGAGGTGAATGCCAAAATCTTAATCCTTAAGTTCCCAAAAGTGAAAAACGATCAACTTCTCTAAATATCTATACTTCAATTTGAAAGTCATTAGAAGAGAAAGATCCATTACGTTCCCGACTGGTTCACAAGAAATTAAAAATAAATTCGACGGAGAATTCAGCATCTGCAGGTCTTTGGAGTTAAGGAATTAAAAAAGATTTCCTTAAGTCGGTTCTTGGCATTAGAAATCGAAAATAATTGAGAAAAAACTTCCTTGCAATATACAGTGGATTTTAGGGCCATATTACACCGATAAACTTAGCCTTATAAACAGGCTTCGACTTATGTGGGCTAGCCTTTCTTCTATAACGTAAATTTATTCCTTTGTTGGCTGGTAAATAAATCTGTTTAAAAGACCTGGATTGACTACACTTTTAGAATAACACGCATATCCATGTGGCATTTTATCAACTGTGGATTTTTCCACCAAACTTGCACGGTAAGCTTTAGTCATGTTGCTCAAGTGACCTATATTGAGCACCCTTTGTCAAACGTTTTTAGACTGAAGGCGAAGGACTGATTTTGAAGGAGGTTCTTGCCCAAGATAATGCTATCTAACTTTTCAACAGAGATTTGGATATTGTGTCCTTGTGCAGGAAATCTATGTTGACTTCAGCGAAACTGGTTTTGTTTATGTTCCAATGTCCTCGTCGCTACGGCTTAAGAAGATGGTTAAAGTAGACACCAGGATAGTCATGGAGTAAAACCAAAAGAAAAACCTGTCCATCACCATGGCAAAGTATTTCCAGTCCTGTTGGTTTTTCTCAACTTTTTCGCGTTCTTTCACGCTGTTTGCAAGTACGCTAATTTCCTCTGGGAGTTTAGGTTCCCTTGGGAGTTTTTCTCGCCTTGGCTCGGGAAAGTCCACGGGAGATGAATCTCTGGTGTACCTAACTTCTATTAGTTTAGACTCGTCCGGGCTTCGTTCGCCGTTGTAGTGTGTTCCTCTTGCATTTATACATCTCGTGCAATGACAGTTGGCGGCTGGTGCAAAGGTGGTTTCCCAGTCGAGTGCGAAAGGTGCACCTCTCCTCTTGCTGTCGTCTTGGTGGTATCTGAGGTCTGTGTTTGGAATATCGGGTGAACTACCATCGGGTTTACCCACACATAGTATGTACCCGAGCCATTGAAGTACAATGATACGAGCCCATAGGGGCACCGCCTTTACCGAATTCCCTGATCCGTGATAATGAATGTTCAAGACCCAGCACGTCAGCATCAGTGAGATGGAGATCTCCGCCATGATAGTGATGTAGAACTTCCCCAGTAGAGGCACTGTCTCAGAGTTCCTAGGGAGGCTCTCTCCTACCAGCTGAAGGAAGACTGCATTAGCCAGCAGTACTGTGATACTGAGTGTGATCCTTTCACCCGACTCCGGAGGCAAAAAGAAGCCGAGTAGAATCATGGAGAGGATTATCAGACATGGTATGACAAGATTGAAAAGATAGAATAAAGGTTTCCGATCCATGATAATTGTTATACTGATATCTGCTAACTTGTGCTTGCAGCATGTGTATTTCTTAGCGTTTCTTTGTTTTTTGATTCCGGACAGAACCCACTCGGCGCTTTGTATGTACTGAGATTGGGAAGATCCATTTTCCTCCTTCATGTCGAGGTCTATTACCTTCAAGAACAGAGGAATCAAGAAAAGATTTTTATTCATAACATGGAGCACAGTCGATTCATCCCTTCGTATCAAAAATGTTCTGCTTTCAAAGCAAAACAATGACATCAGTCTCAACTATTGGCCTTGACGAATTTCAACATCGAAAACGAAAACACAACATTTCAGGAAATTGTTTCCGTCAGTCGTCATTGTCATCGTCAACCACATTATATTCATCATTATCATCATCATCGTCATCGTCATCATTTTCACCGTTGTCTTTGTCATAGACGTCATCATCGTCATCATCGTCATCATCATCATTGTTCTCGATGTCATTGTCATAAAAGTTATCATCGTCATCATCATCATCATCCTTATTCTCGTTTTCATTGTCATAAAAGTCATTGTTGTCATTATCATGGTCATCTTATCTTCGTCTACATTGTCATAAAAGTTATCATCGTCATTATCGTCGTCATCTTTATCCTCGTTGTCATTGTCATAAAAGTCACCATCGTCATCGTCACCATTATCCTTGTTGTTATTGTCATAGACGTTATCATCGTCATCGTCATCGTTATTTTCGTCTTCATGATCTCCTCAGCTTGCTTTTCAGAAGTGGCCTCTCGCAGCCGTTCCTTGGCTTTGCACAACGCGTGAGAGCCAAGGAAGAGGAAAATGAACCACACAATTTTGAGTACTCTTTTTTTCGGCTAAATATTTTCGCTTTGAAAGAAACTTATATAGCATAACAACAATATTCTTTGCTTGAGTCATAAAAAGCAAGAATTACCTCGTAAGTCCAAGAGCCGAATTTCAATACGCACTTCTGACGATCAAATGGAAAGTACTGTACGTCTATAGGGCATGTACTGGTGAACGAAGCCGGGCAAAACCAACTACAGCTCCCATTACTTGACAAAATCACCGGAGTCTTGTATTTATCAGTACCACCGCTGAATTCATTATCCGCGCTGCAAACGATAAGAATACGTTTAAAAATTCGTTCCAACGGGACTAGGGTTTCTTACTAGTCAGTGCTAACCTGTTGTACAAGACAATATCTGGAATCCAGACCAGGGATGCGTCCAGTCTGACCGTCTGAATGCCGTCATAATCCTTAGGGTCCCACGTGAGAAGCTCGTTGTCCCAAATCTGGAGACAACAAATATGATAACTAAAAATTCTATTAAGTTCGGTGGGCATATTTTTCTCGTTACAACCGTCCTGAAAAAGATTTGGTATTTCTGATAAAAGAGTACCATTTCTTTTCTGATGAATTAAGAAAGATATGTGTAGTTGGTTGGGTAGGTTAGTGAGTGAATCAGTGAATGAACGAATGGTGAATGCAAGGTGAACTTTGGAAATACTTAGACAAGGTTTGATGCTACTCTGGATTAAGGACTTTGAAAATACTTACTTGGCGAACCCAGACGTTTGTTGTAATCATTTGATTTCTGACATCCTGAAATACAATGAGAGACTGAGAATGTCAGCTGAATCAGCAAATAACGCAACGTTTTTAAAGGAAAAAGAATTCAACTCGGTTAAATTTCCAAATAAATGCTTCTTGAGTTGACCAGACAACAAGAGTAATTTGTCTAGTGTCAACTGCATTTTAGTTGCTCCCACTTACAATATTGACCAACTGGACAAGTTCAAATCCAAATGTAACTACAACTTTTTGTTTGGGGTCTCTCACTGGTCGGGCTTCCTTCGTGTAATTTGCAAGCAGAGTGGTGATAAGTCGCTCCTCGGGTGTAAAGTCTTTTGTTGTTGTTCTTGTAACTGAGTAGTAAAAAACAATGACAATTACTTTACGTTGAAAGGAGAAAGCCGTCCTCGTAAGAGGAAAAAGTAAAACAAAACGGGCAAATGTCTCCTTGTTTAAAATATAGCAGACATTATTGATGGAAAATACACTTTATAACTAGGTTCCATGTTTCCGTGCCTCTTTTCAGTGAAATATCACAGATGAGGTCAAAATGTGGTGAGAACAAATAAAAGGGCACACGAAGCGCAGCCGAGTGTGTCACTGATGTTGTTACTTTAGTTTGAGTTCTTCTGTATGGAATGTATTTGTTTTACGTGATAAAGAAGCAGATTAGCCATTGATGACACCATTCATGTCCTCCAATACCTCATAAGTAAGAGCCAGTGAAAAAGATGGCGATTTTCACTGCACTCTTGAGACTGCGTTTCTACTCTGTATACTGTCAAAACGAGCTTATCCTGTAAACAATCTTCGAGGATTTGCCAGTTTTCCGTTATTTTAGAAACAGACAGAGAATCTGGGGAATTTTCCGCAGAATTTAACAGATACTTTAGAACAAAAGATAAGAGTGAAACCAATGAAGGTTTTATCTTACAATACTGGACGGGTAAAATTCTGATATCTGCTTACCCAAGGAAATGAGGACAACGAGGACCAAACTTCTGTATGTGAATGAATTCATTTCTTTTAAGATTCCTGTATAGAAATATATATAATCGTTATTACTGAATGAATCATAAGTAATAACGGCGCAAATTTATTTCGACAAATTTTAACTGAAAAATAATTCGATAGTTTAAGTAATTAGACAAAAAAAGATAATAAACAAACAAAAAGCAAATATCAAACGTCACTACAAATCCATGGGCTAGCACCAAAAATATTACCTCGGACAGTCTTAAGAGAATTGCTGCTCTTTGAGCCTGGAAAGTGTAATTTTTAAATCTGAAGATGACTGACGTCAACTGACTTATATTTGACGGGTGTCTAACGTATGTTTGGGATATTGTCTTTTACCAAATTATCTGAATTGATATTCACGCAAATTTGGAGTCTATTGCAGGCAAAGCTATCTCATGCTATATCCTCTAATTTTCTGATGAATTACAAGGGTCGAAAAGATGGAGTTTTACGGTGCGCTGAGATGAACTTCCTGCACTTGGTACAGCAGCTGATTTTTACAACAATTTTTCAGACGGGCTGTGACAGTGTTGAGCAATAAAGAAACAAAGTTTTTTCCCTGCTTGATAAAACTCTATTCACAAGTAACTAATAGGTGCTCGTGTTATACACAGTCATGCGAACGAGCCATGGTCATTCTTTCAAGCTTTATAACTATGTCAACACTTTCAAATTTTTTTACTATTAAAATTCCATTCGTTAATTCGTAAATACAAAATTGGACTGATTACAACATTGAATGCATAAGAGGTAATAGAGAAACTATTAGAGCTGACCATTATTTCAAAGAAATTCCTATCATTTTAAGATTCAGGGTTCAAAATCAGATTCATAGCGTATTATAAACGAACAAATAGATATCTAAGGTTTGTCGGTTTTTGAGTAAAAATTCGGTAAGCAATTTTTGTGAAAGTCAAAAGATCTCTAATAAAAAAGAAAAAAACACTCAGGTTTTTAATCCTCGATATTGTTCAGTACTTAGAGTTGGACATTTTGGACGTAATGAAAGAAACTCGATAAATTACAATGCAATTATACGCACTTAACATTCGCCCACGAAGGGTTCAAATCAAATATATATTCACAAATTGCCAAAGCATCGTGGCAATGCAAAGCAAGGAAATATGGTCAACAATATCAAGTTTTTTGCGCAAAAATGCGATTGCTAATTTTATTCTTCTTAAAAATATCGTATTGCATTTTAATTGGTAGTATGGTGTAGTCTGATAAAGAGGCTGTCGTAAGCACTCACACCTGCGTGAAAGCTTTTAAAAAGCCTTCAATATACAATTCAACAAAGGTGTCCACATATCACGTACAACTCAAAAGATTTTCAAATATTTCTCATCATGATACTTGCCTTTCGATTCGTCCTTGTGGATGAGAATGAGAACTTAACTTTAATGTCAAAATTGCGGGTGATTTTCCTTCTTTCGTTTTCCCAATACAGCTGGTGAGGTTCTGGAAGTGATAGCTCAAAGTGGCATAACTTTCCACACAAGTCACTTAGACCAAAGAGGCGAAACCAAAATTGACTCTCCTAAGGGTGACTAAAAGGATATAGAAGGCATCAAATCCAAAAAGATACAGTCCCCCAGAGGTTGACTCAAAAGGATCTCACTTGGAGCCGTGAATGACCACCTCACGGGAGTCGTAGCATCAACAATTCCTAATCAATTAGCTACAACAGGCAACACGCACCAGAGGTGTGGAACTATACGAATACACTTTCCAACACCATAATCCTGATGAATTTTTTTCAGTCTCGATGGCTCGTGACAAAGTGGTTTCGAAGCAATTTTATCTTTTAGCTTCTGGTCAATTATGTTACCACCTGCACGGGTTTCCTCTCTGACTGGTCGAAAACACAAATCAAATTTGATTAGAAGCACGTCTTGGATTCCCACGAGTTGATGCGAAATTCCCTAAACTTTTTAATTATTGATTTCCGAAAATCTAAAAGTTGTCATGGATTTAATGGGAGAGAAAGAATTGGTAACAACCAGCCGTCAATTGAATACAAAAATACAAATTTTCTTTAATATCCTTGTTCTTTTCATGTCTTAGATAAGCAAAATTATTTCTGGGAATCAACAAAATTCAGGGATCTTTTATTTGGCAAACCTCGTACAGATTCCTGTACTTAAATGGCAATCATTAAAAGCAACTAATCGTTAGAATAATAAGGACACTCGGTTTTAATAAAGAATTCAGTTTTTGTCCAAATGTCGAGGTTTTTTTTATCGCTTCATTAAGAATGCCATAGTTTTATGGTTAACGAGAAGGAACCCATTTTTTCTCGCCTGTTCTATTGGCTGACAATATTTGAGCATAGTTTGGCAGCAGGGATACAAAAACGCTAAAAAGTGATTTCAAATTAGCATTATTTCAATGATCTGCAACAATGACTTATTGGCAAACAGCAGCTTGATTAGTGAAATTCATCCCCAAGCTAATTCTCCACGCCGCGTAATCTCTCTTCTCTCGCTCCGAGAGCTGGCAGTAGTTTCGCAATTTTGGCAACCTTTCTAGATAAAATTAACTTTGAATAATGCGGTTAGGGATCTTTTGCTTCTCTAATAGCAAAGGAGATTTTCAAAGAAGAGCTAATTTTTGACAAATCAAAGTTTGTAACCTCGAGAAATCCAAAGATGCCGCAGACTCTTCCAAGCATCAACTATGACAATCTGCTTCTAAAACTCGGTACCGCATGAAAAGAAAACGATTTTTTCTTACGATTGTGGAACAAACAAGAAACAAGAAATGAGTTGCCTATGCACAATCGAACCCCTCAGGCTTGGATTGCGCAGTACTCTTCTCTGCTACTCGGCTAAATAAAACTCGTTAGAAGCTTAGCCTGAGTGTGTCCGCCCCTGGCCCTCAAAACAATTATGGTGGGTGACTGTGAACAGGCTCTTGAAAGCGATGCCACCATCTAATTTCACGTGTGAGCGGCATCCCTCATTCTGCTTGAGAACAGTATTTTCAAAAGCGTCCTGTAAAAATTTATTCATAGGAAAGATCTTGTGCTCGGTCTTACAATAACGTACTTATCTTGCCTGATGTATTTTTTTTAATCACGATGCACACCTTATCTCTATTATATGTCAAAAATCTTTCTCTTTACCTGAACAATACGCTGACAACCCTAGTTACTTTGCATATGACTTTCTAGATGTAACCACATTACTGATGTTACGCTGATTTTATCCCACGCTTGCTATCTTTAACAAATGAAACTGCAAATTTCCAAGTTCTGTCTTAGTTTTTGGAACCTCAATTAGCCTTCATAAGCTTCATTTGTTGTGTTCTTGATGGCATAAAAGTAATTTATAAGAGTTTAATCAGAGTATTTCAATGGGTATTTCAATTGTCCAAGTAGCTTCGTGCACATTCATGGGTGTGTCCAGGGGTTTTTATCTACAAGAGAATTAAAGATTTCAGGAAAATTATGAAACATGATGAAACTATCCGAATCGAATGTGGAGCACATGCAAGAAAATTTATTGGGAATCTTTTAGATATAAATAATGTAGCCGTATTCGAACGCCCAGCTCTGTTATGCATGTGTCCGAACGTTCTAACGTCTCGACTCTCGACCGAAGTCATGTTGCTTTTTTGAGCAATTTCACTTCTTCAGGAACCTTACATGAGTCTATTTTAAAGGGTTGTATGAAAAAAAACTATTGATATTTGGGAGGAAGATTCAGACATCGAGCAGGTACGATTATACTCGAGGGTTGTGAAAAGGAACTTAAAGAAAATATTTAGCAATAATGAGGGTGCCTCGCATTGATCTTATTGATCAATTGATTGTTTCGCATTTCTTTTTTTAACACTCATACAACAAACAAAATCACAGGGGGGGGAAGCCAGTTAAAGGGGGGGCAGGGGAGCGATAACAACTTGCTATGTCATGTCAGATAGTTTGCACACGCTGCGGACCTATGAAAATGACATTAACTCGCAACTTGGTCTTGGTTAAAGATCTAACCCGCAATCTTTCGACCTCGCGGTTTCGATAACCTTTAGTAGGCGTATCTATCCACTCCTCTAGGAACACCAAAGCAATTACATGAGGATGTGTGTAGGTTGAGATTCTTGGAATGTTAGCTCTGTTGATTCGTTTATGTCAAGAAACGAACGTCATTTGAGAATCTTTCGAGTGAAGGGTTGACTTTTTTTAATTGTCTAAAGACAGCCCATAGTGGTTAAAAAAAAAATTCGAAATAACCGTATTGATCTTAAACTCAGCGTCTCTAGCGAAAAAAGCTGATATAAAATGAATAGTGTTCGCTAAACCGCGCTGTTTGAGGCATGAGAGCCACACGACTGTTATTAAATGAGGTTTATAATAGTGTGCATAACATGGTCTCTTCAAATTGATGGAAGCCTAGAACAAAGTAACACTTCAAAACCACTGTTTCGCGAACATTCGCAATTAATGTACTTTTACCATGTAAGTACTGAACAAAACCTTCCTATTCACGATCACATACTACTATGACATTCAGATACTGCAATGTCGAAGGGATCGGAGATAAAAGGGGGACTGCAATATCGATTCGCGAATTTGACGCTCATTCTGTTGGATAAGAAAAAAGGTTCTTTATAAAAGAAATCGTTCCGTAAAATCGATACAAAACTATAATGTTTACTCGCTCAGTCTTCCTTTCCTTAAGCAACTGTCTCATGGTGTATAATTTTCGATTATAAAATATATTGAGACGGTCTTTCATTTTGCAACACACAACGTAATGAATACGTCTTCTATATACAACACCCCAACTTCGTAAAATAAAATCAGACAATAATTTTCTTACTTGAATTATCTTGATGAAATAGTGGATAGCCTAGCTTTAACAAACACGTTTTGTTCCAGGCAAAAGTAACTTACCTTTTGTTTACATCACCTGGGGAAAGCCTATGTCATGCGAAGTTACTTCCACAGTTTCGTAATTCACTTGATTTTGATGTTTGGCAACTGTTCCTTACGCTATTTTCTTAGCCTCTGGCGGATTTGATCCTCTTCCGACCTCTTTTCATTAGCGATCATGGCGTCAATTACTTCGTAAAAGACATCCGGAAAACTTTTCTTGAAAATGCAAACATTTCTCTGAACTTTTAATCAAAACCCCAACATGAGTCCTTAGAAAAACAGAACTCGGGGTGCGCCAAACGAAAATATTTCATCAGCCACGTTGATTTTAAAGTTTCGGAGCTATTCATAAAACATTGACGAATGTCAGCAATCCACCAAAATAGATTTTCATTGATAAACCAAGTTTTATTTAATACTTACGACAAAGGAACCTCGACGGCTTTGCTTTTTTACTGTCACAGTAATTCAATTTACATGCTGAGCGATACAAATTATAACACAGACGCGTGGTTGGGTATTAAAAAGTTCTATTATCTATAAACTGGCTGAATGGAAGTGTCGCTTTGTTACAGGTCTGCAGCTGGTGCGATTTTTTCGCCCACAATAACCGAGATACGCTTGATAAAATCGCTCGCACTCAGGGCATTAACTGACAATGTTTCACGTTAATAGACGTGTACTAAAAGTAAAGGTGAATAGACAATTAAAATCATATTCATCATTCTAAGCCCCTTGTTTTGACAACCGGGCAAGCTCGAGGAGGTTTTAGAAGAACGGAGTCCAGACCCCTCCAGTATTTACACAGTCAGAGGCCTCTAGCTAAAAATAATTATAAGGGATAAGGATGGAGGGAATTTTGGAGTAAACCTTGATAACAATTAGGGGTTTAGACCAGATGGAGGAAAACTTCAAAGTGTGTTTTTCTATATGTTAGTTTCTTTAAATACTGTCAACAAGTCTTTAAGAGCTTTTCCGTCCTTGACGTATTCTTTCCTTAAAAATTACCAGCGTTGATATCAAAACGGTGAGAATAAAAAACCAGAAAAAGAACCTGTCCATCACCATAGCAACATGCTTCCATTTCTTTTGATTGTCTTCGATATCTCGACTAAATTTTGCATGTTCAGCCAACACTGCTAAGTCACGAGCCAAACTATCCCCTGATTCATTTTCTTTTTCTTCAGAACTTTTGGCATTACCATTATGCTGCGAGAATCTTTTCTGAATCTGCGTGATCGATCGACAAACAGGGGTCACGTGGTTCATCGATAACAACGCATGCGCTTCACCGTTCAAAGATAATTTTCCCTTGAGGTCTTGAGGCGAAACTTTCACTTGAATGATGTCATCGTCGTTACAGTCGTTATCTTTGTCTCCCCGTTTATTGTTTATGGGAATCTTCTCAGTTTCAACGCCTGGTTTTCTTACACACAGAATGTTCGCCAACCAGCCGAGGACAACTATTTCAACCCATTGAGGTGTTTTGACGATGGAGCGACCGGAATTTCTGTGATGGATGTTCAGCACCCAACAAGTGCACATCAGGGACATAGATATCTCCGCCATTATGGTGATATAGAACTTGCCGAGTAGGGGAATAGTTTCTGAGTTACGAGGTAAAGTTTCCGCTACAAGCTGCAAAAAGACAGCCATGGCCAATAAGACCGTAATGCTCAGCGTGATTCTTTCTCCTGACTCAGGTGGAAGAAAAAACCCCAGGAGAATCATAGTCAGCATTATCATACACGGTGTGATTAGATTGAAGACATAGAAGAGTGGCTTACGTCGAATGACCATCTCGATAGTTACATCAGCAAGAGGAATGCTACAGCACTCGTAAAATTGGACATTTCGCTTCTTAGAAGCCCTGATGAGGTCCCACTCAGCACTTTTTACATACTTGTCCGAGAATGTGGGTGTGTCTTCCGCCTCAATGTCTAAGTCTGTAATCACAAAGGTCCAAGAGCCAAACTTCATAGTGCATGTTTGCTCGTCGAAAGGGAAATACGTTACGTCGATGGTGCAAGTGCTTCGGAAAGAAGCTGGACTGTACCAGGCATGGCGACCATCCTGCTCCAGAATGACGCGTGTCTTGTATTTTTCAAGGCCTCCGCTGAAAAAACTGTCCGCACTGGGAAGGAAAGATAAAAAATGTTTATGTATGAGGTTGACTGTTTGTCCACATCTCAGTGATCCTAAAGTGAGTTAAATTTGGTCAAAGAGATGTGTAAAAGTTAATAAACCCGCAAAACCACGTGTGTGTAGTGCAGATTGTGACTTATTGATTAAGGTGTTCAACTTTAACGGTCGAGTGAATGGCGCGAAGTGTACTTTTTGAACCAATCACAAATTAGCGAGTCTTTTCTGGAGCCTCCCACCGTAATTAACCCCTGAAGGATGATGGGAGAATTTGAGACGTAACTAAACGATAGGTTTGTGACCAGTAAGAGCGCACGTATTATCTCAAGCTTATTTTTTAATCAGCGAAAACTTGTTAATTTGTGTTTGAAGAGATACCTGTTGTATAGCACAACGTCTGGGATCCACACTAATGCTGGATCTATTCGTATTGTTTTTACTCCATTGTAATTTGCCGATTTCCAGGTCAGCAGCTCGTTTCTCCACCTCTAAAATGACAATGACTGGTCAGTTTTGTCACGCTGTTATCAGCTGTAACACTAAAGAAGCATATGTCAGTCGGTCGTGATCGGTCAGTTGTCGTTCCTTGGGTAAAGCTTCATCGTTATGTTCGGTTCGTTAAGACAGGCCGACTTTTCTATTCCTAGATACAACACAATAACTTACGGCAAACATTCACTACGCTATTTAGGACCTAAATTATCAGTGGAGTAAACTGACAACTTATGACAGATCAGCCACAACATTAACCAGTTTCAAAAACCGCATACGTAAGCGTGACCTTAGCTCTCTGATTGCTGCAGGGGCTGTGTTCTATGTAATTCTTAATTCATTTCATACTTCTTTTTCATGCATGATATGACTTAATTTTATTCTTAAGTAGGTAATATTCTTTGTAAATAATGTTTATCCATTTTATTTGTGTCCCCACCTTAGTATGGGATACCTCCCAAACTAGAAGGTTCTTTGACACGTTAATAAAGTTTCTATCTATTTATCTATCTATTTATCTATCTATCTATCTATCGTTTGTGATGTCAAGTGTAGTAACTTCGTCGTGTCATATGGTGTTGGCAGTTGTTGAAATCTGTCAAAGGAAGTGTAGTTAAGTAAACCAGCTTTCCAGGGTTAGTCGTTGAAAACAGTTGGCGCTTTAGGTTAAAAATATCTATAAGTTGGGTTTAAGAAGGGAATGATAAACTTAGTAAAGTTTTAAGTTCCATAAGGTGATTAAACTCATTGTGATCACAAAAATTAATGAAAATGAACTTACTTGTCTGACCCACACATTTGTTGTTAACATCTGATTACGATCATCCTTTGCATAAAAAGAAGAGAGAAATTTACTTCATCTTTTAATTTGATCATTTTATAGAAAGGAAGACGTGAACAGGGAATACTTTTTTTTATACCGCATGAAGACTTATACATAAAAGAGAGCAAAACTACCAATGACATCACTACAAAGGCGGAATCTTCATGTTATCATGTATCGGCAACAAAGCGGTCAAACGTTTGCGAGGCATGTGTGAACACTGTAACTGCGGCGGGGCGTTTGCATTCAGTCATAGAAGGCCAGTTAGTCCTAGTCTTCTAAACGCGTTTAACCTTTCGATAAAGCTCAAAAGAAAATGGTAAATCAACAAGATAGGCTTAATCAAATAGAGGTTGTGTTCGGAAATTCACATTGAGAAGTTTTTCCTTCAACCAATCAATCGACATTGGAACTTTGTTCGTATATTTTGCGTGACAACGGTTGTTTCTTATCGAAGAGTTTTGGCTGGAAATTGAAGCGCGTCCGGCCAAAATGGATCCACTTACCGTATTTACTCGAATAAGCGCCGCCTTCGATTAAGCGCCTCACTCGAATAAGCGCTGCATCTGGGACAAAAAAAGTTAATAAGCGCCGCCCTCGAATAAGCGCCGCACCCCCAATGCGGCGCTTATTCGAGGAATTCCGTATAACCAGGAAAAACACAACTAAACAATTTTAACTCAGCATCGGCAATTTATATTCTTTAAATGTGATGTTCTTTAGTTCAAAGTGACTGTATTTCTCTGCTCGGGTTACCATGAAACGCTCGGGGTTTTTTCACCGCATGGATTTCTCTTGTAATTCTAGATTTACTATCAGTTAAGCATCAGTCCATAGGAAAATTGACAGATAGAAAGTGTACCGTTGAATAAAAATATAGAAAAAGTAAATTTGTCTCGTACAATTTTTAAATAAGCGCCGCACTTATGGCGCGAAAAATTAAATAAGCGCCGCGGCGCTTATTCGAGTAAATACTATTTGCATACCCGACATTTGACCGCTGGGTTTATATCGGCCGGCGCAACCCTTACCACATTCACTAACTGAACAACCTCAAGTCCGAACGTGACGTTTGTGGGTCTTCGTCTGTCGAGCACTGGCCGAGCATTCCGATCGTAACTATGTAACAGAGTCCTAATCAATGCTTGTTCAGAAGATGGATTTGCCGCTTGCACTGAAAATAATTTTAAAAAATATACATATCAAGAGATTATAAATAGGAAACCAAGTTCTAAAACTGATAAACACCGGGATGTATTCTAACGAAATTTGCTAACAGATCACTTATCGTCGCAATAGAAACAGTCGAGTTTTTTTAACGTAATTTGATGCGCAAATAGAATTTAAGGTCAGAAAAGCGAATTCCAATCTACGTTTTCTTACCTGATGATAACAACGAAAGGAAACAGGCAGCAATGATTCGGAAACTACGACCATCTAATGCAGTCATCATAAGTGCAAAGCCTAAATTGTCTTCCAATCTGTTTCGAGAAAAATTATAAAGTATAGCTCGATGATCTATTGGGAGAGGAAAATACTTTTCTCGACTACAAACAAACTTTTATCTGACTGACCACGCATTGCTATACATTTATAGGGAAATATACCCTAAAAGATATTACATCATAACTTGTTGTTAAGGAAACTCTCTTGGTACTTAGCATTTCGATTTCTAAAGAGGTAGTATTTATGTGACGTAAATTTAAACCAATACAATATATAAAAAGGTAAACTCTCATCCCAATTTTTTTAAGTGAGGAATTACGACTGTGAGGCAAAACATAAAAAATAATAAAAGCTAGCTATCTTGAGATCTTTTACGGGAAAGTTTTCCCAATATGTTAAGACTTTTCTTTTCAAGTCTCTTCAAGAAGTGACATGCCCGTCTTCGAACAAAAGGACTTAAAGGATAAAATCTTCCAAGGAAAATTTTATCCTTGAGGCCTGAGAGCGTGCAATTCTGCAGCAGCAAGGTTTTCCTATTGAAGCGTCATTGACAAGTTTTTCTTTTCGCTGATTGATTCACATAGTATGTAATTTTTCTTAACCAATGGGCTTGCTAAGGGAAAAGGGAACATGAGAATATGGCTTTAGATAGAAATGTTCTAGCAAATGAAATCACTACAGCCTTACAGCAATGAATTATGCCACCCCTATTAAGAAATAGATTTGCACGTGTCCATCTTTACACGTGTCCATCCTTACACGTGACTGCTACTCTCTAACCGTCTTCAATTTAATCTTACCAGTTAGCTCAATTGGTAAAGCGCTGGACTGTTGTGCGGGAGGTCGTGAGTTCAAATCCGGCCGGACCAACACTCAGGGTCTTTAATTAACTGAGAAGAAAGTGCTGCCTTTGTAATAAT